TGACTCTTCTGTGGGATGCTGCCTCCTCCCTATTGAAGGTGTCAGGCCTCCTCTGGCTACCGTCAGAGCAACAAGGCTACGGTAGCTGCAGAGAGACAAATGTATAAACACAAACGCAGCAGCAGCAGCAGCAGCCACGGCTGAGGTTATAGCACAGTATTGCTATTACATATGGTCCTTTAGAGAATGAGATTGATGAAACGGTAATTTAAGATTTGTAAATAAAAACATGCCTCTTGAACAGCTGCTGAACTCACAAAACTAGGAGGTGTTACCTACTGAAGAAAGTCTGAGTCCAGTGGCACCTTGAAGACTTTTCTTCTGCGACTTCAGACCAACGCGGCGACCCACCTGAAAGTTGCCTATTATACAGTACATTGGATAAAATTTACATAAAACATGGACCTGTTCTCATGTACCTAACTGTGGCATATTGAAATGCATTTCTTCATGCTATGGTACATTGGAAAGGCAAAAGAATAAGCTACAGTTGTTTAATATTCTTTAGGTGACTATCTGGATTAGGTAAGCTGCCATATGTGGTAAATCTTATAAAAATGTGGGGGGAAACAGACTTTTCCTGTGAATTATGCCCAGGAGTCATTTCGTAGAAAAAGAGCTAGGGAAACTCACTAGCATAACTCATTAGCATATGCCACACCCCCTGACATCACCGGAAGTGTGTCATAAGGCCACACACCCCGCCCCCAACGGTCCCGGCCGCCACCGCCAGCCTTGCAGCTACACCGCTGAGCCCCATGAGGGGCCCGGCGGTGGACCTGCAAGGCCGGCGGGAGTGCAAGGAAGCCCCGCGAAGGCCCTCCCTGGGCCCAGGCAGGCAGGGGTGGGGAGAGGCGGAGAGGAAGCAACTTACCCTCCCTCTTCTCCTGCCTCCTCCTGGCTGGATAAGGGCCGGAAGTGGGGCGGGCGGAAGCGGGGGGGGGGCTTCGTCATGTGCCCCGCCCCCCGTACCTCACCCGGGGGAACTGCGATTCCCCGCAATCCCCCCCGAAATGACCTCTGATTATGCCGCATATCACAAGAACGATAATGGATAAAGGCATTGTTAGGGTTAGGTATTTGTTGGGGAATTTATTAGCTTTTCAACAGTACTTTAACATTTGAAATTGGTCACTTGGTTTATGAATTATAGCTCAAACTAGAAAAGGTAAGAAAAATTGGCTTCGGCCGTATTAGAACAGGTTATCACATCAGATCACAATACAGGAAAACAAAATTTCAGGAAAACAAAGAAGGTGTTTGGCCACCTGACCTGGTATTGGCATCTAGTCTGGCCCACAAAAGAATACCCCTGTGCATATCCTGAGACCCTCGGCCTTCCTTGGGCGGAGGGAGGCCTTGCGACCCACAGCGCCTCCCTTCGCACTGTCACAATGAGGGGGATTTTGCTGGTGGGAAACAGGCACGGGAAGAGGAGGAGGCACGCCATGTCTCTGCCCTGAGTCCTGCGGAATCACACGGGTGAGCTGGGAGTTCCATGTCGCCACTTAATGTTTGGGCACATGGAGGCCTGATTCTGACCAGGGGGCCTGAAATGGGGCCAGAGAATTGCTACTTGGCCTCTCTTGACTACATTATGTGCAGCCAATTGATACACATTTCCCCAATGGGGAGCAGTTTAAGTCTCCTCCAGCCCCATATCCTGATGAGAACTGCCCCCCACGCACCTGGGAATTAAGACGTAACATAGATTGCCCAGAGCACTTGACTATCAGTGGGCAAACCCATTACTAGTGTAGCATCATTAGCTCCTAAGAAGCAGGGCTGTTTGCCAGGAACCACACCATGTTAGATGTGCAAAGAAGCCCCCGGCCTGGGCAGGCACAGCAGAAGATCTGCCGGCTCTCTGGCACACAATGAAAGGAGCCCTGCTTCTCTCAGGTTTTGTTTTTTCAAGTTCTTCTGTTCCCATAAAAGAGTTCAAAGTTATCCTTTGCAGTGTTCCCAGCCAACCAGTCCAAGAAAGTGGCCACGTCACATGTCATGAAAAAGTCCTTGTGTTTGTGGGTAGATGACAGAAGGACTTTGCATCAGACATCCACTTAGAGTTTTGTGCTGCCTTGTCACAGGCGAGCCGTTTTCTCCTCATGGCCACAGTGTGCAGGCACAAGAAGTGGCTTCAACGTTCCCCTTGTGCTGTCTTAGATGGGCTCCACTGCAAAACGTACATGCAAACCTGCGAGTACATTATTTCACAAACGGAGTCCATGGTGGCTCTCACGGCAGTCTGAATAAACAAAAACGGTGCAAGCAGGAAAGGAAATGAGGCACAAGTACCATTCTTGCCATGTCAATACTATGGCTTGATAACCATTATTGCATCATTTAAGGTTTGGATATAAAGGGCAAATCGGTACTTAACACTTCTAACATAGCCCCAATCGCCATTTTCCTGAAGGCCCTGCCTCCTATCTCCTAGTTTCCACACAAGATAAATATCAGCCTTTTCCTTAACAATTCTACCATTTGCCTGATGTACTCTGGTAAATGTTGGGTGGTTTCCAAGGAGGTAGATTGTTTAATCGTCTTCAGGAGATTTTTCATCATTTGCAAACTCACAGAAAACAAAGACCTCATGGAGTATGCAATGCCATGCAACTGGACCCAATGCATCACCAAAAGGTTTGTGCTATTTTTGCTCATTACATCCCCCCCCCTTCCTTTCCAGTTCTAGTAACAAGGGCTATGTCTTAGAAAGAACCCCAAATATTACTAGTACTTATTTTTTCCAAAATCTATTAACCTTCTTGGGGCTCTAAACTTCCTTAGGTGAGAAACCAGAAAACCCTTCATCCGTAGATAATGAAAACCAGGTATTTGATTCCCATTTTCACTGCTTCATAGGGAATAACCTAATTCTTTACAATTAATTCTACATAACAATCACTCCATGTCACTTTCACTTTCTTTGATCATCAGATTTTATTGTACCTTCTGCATAGATTTATGGACATTTTATGGCCATTCAGGGGGGACTTTGCAGTCATTGCCCCGAGGTATTTGAATGTGGTTTTGAGCTGCACTTTTCCCTCCCAGTTGAGAAAATGTGGAGCGAATGCTGGATGCAGAATCGCCCTCTGTGCTTGGAGCTTGATGACTCCTTCCCCCCAGTCTCCTCCTTCCTGCCAGCTAAAGACTTGCAGTTGGATTTCAGCACATGGACAGAGTGCAAAATATTGGGGTTAATTCTTTGGGTGGGGGCATTTGTCCAGAGTTAAGCCCACTTTCTCCCAAATTTTATTATGACTCATTGTCTGGTTTGATTTGACATCTCTGTCTCTTACTGTCAAGGACTTCGCACCCTCTGCACGAGACAGTGGCCGGGATCTGGGTACAGCCAGATGTCAAATCCATTTTAAGCCCCAGACAGTATCTTATGCTAAGTGTTGCAAAGTGGATCAAAGGAATTATTGAACCTATCCAGTTCTCGCCGTAAGGAACTGAGCACCTTCCAGTTCTCTGAGCTCTATACCCGGGGACACAAAACGGAAGCAGGCTTACATCCCCAAGAGGAGCATGTCTGTGCTATTACTGGGGCACTATCATCAAAATCAGTGTCAGATCGGAAGTCCTTTCTGGGCTTGCTAAATGATTGTGGTCAATTTTTTACCAAATTTGGCATCAGGACTAATGACATTACACAAACTTTTGAAGAAAGGAGTAAAAAAGAATAAGAAACAGAGTTTTTAAAAACAGCCAATAAGCCTTTGAAGTCATCCACCCCGTTGATTAATTAAGAGATCCATACGAACATATGTTGTCTCATGATGCCTCCCAATACAGAGTGGGAGCAGTACTGGCCCATGGCGCGCCTGGGGGAACCGGAGCACCCCGTCAGTTATGCAACAAGATCTCTGGCCCCAGCAGAAAGGAAGCGGATAGCATTGTTTTATGGCGCAAAGAAATCCAATCCTTATCCCTGTGGCAAGCAGTTGTCCATGTGTTCAGACTGTGACAGAATTATATGCGAGATGGGACAGTTTTGTACAACAGCCTGGATTAGCGGAGGCCTCTCTGTTTGGTTCCTCTCCCACACATCTTTGCAGGCTTGGCTATTGTCATCTCTCAAACCTCTCTCTAGCCGGACAAGGCACTCCGCTCTAAAAGAACTGTTTACATTTCTGAGTTCCAGCCTCAAAGCCAAAACATCTAGATATGAGGACCAATGCTCCCTCTAAGCTATGGGAGTCCTGTGAGCAAAACCTCTACCTTGTGAGCTCCTGGCATTAGAGCTGTGAGCGAGAGATTTGGCTGCTGCATAAAATAGTGTGCTCTGGAGCCACTCTTCCTGAGCTAAGACAAAAATGTGTGAGCCGGAGGCTAAAAAACTGAGAGCTAACTCACACTCACTCAGCTTAGAGGGAACACTGATGGCGACCTGTGGCTCCAAGCTCCTACCTTGACAGGGAGGGTGGTTTCAACCTAGTGGCAGAATGACACTGGTCAGAGTCTTCTGGTCAGAAGAGGGAGGGTTTTGCCAGGACCATCCGATTTCTGGATCGACAGTGGATCTGGATTCTGAAGGTATTGAACACCAGTGTTTGAGATGCGAAGGGTTAGGTCTTGCCAGAGCAGCCAGAATGCATTCCTAAACAGATAATAATTCCTAAACGAATAATAAGTGCACTATTTGTTTATAAATATTGGTTTGTCTGTTCCCTTCTGTAAGATAAATACGGCAATTGCCACTTGCTTAAAACTTTGTGCAGCATGGTTTTCTTTCAATAAATGGTTTTAACTTTGGAACAGGTTTTCTTCTCTCTCTCTCTCTTTCTCCAACGATGGGGTTCCTGCCAGTTTCAACCCCACCCCCCCTTGTTTAGCCGGGTGGGGGCTGGAATTCCCAGGAAAAGCTCCTGGACTCTAAATTAATTCCCCCCCCCCCGCACAGATCATCACAACCCCCTTCTGGGTCTGTTGGGACAGAACAAACTGGTACCTCTGGCCGTGGCATCTCTGCCAGAATCCAAAGATGGACCATGACGCTGCCTGCTGATGAGGACAAGCAGACCTTTATGGACGTCGATGCCCTCAGCGGCAGACTGCTCCTCCCAGAGGCCCCCCCCCCCCAGTCAATGCCACGGCCTGCTAAAGCCCTTCTTCTGACTGGGCAGGCACCTCTGGCTCTCTCGCAGACAGCACAGAGGTTTAGCAGGGGACAGACCTTCTTCTGCGTGCAAAGAACGAGGGTACAAACAGAAGGGCTAAGAAGGGAGGCGACCGTTTATCGGCTTAAGGAGCCTTCAGGTATCCACGATGGATGCCTTCGAATAGGGTCCTGAGGAGTCCCACCCCCAGGTTGGAGAACCTGCAGTGCCAAAGCGGCCCTTTGAAACATGTCCTGTTGACATTGCAAGGACAAAGGAGCAAGCACCCAGGCACATGTGCTGTCACACTGCCCCCCCCTCTCTTGTGTGTGGTTAGGCATGATGTGGTTTTAAGTTTCTTGTTGTTCCTCTCTCTCTCTCAAGGTATGTAGTGCTGCCACCAAGAATTTAATTCCAGTCTTTAATTAACCTTTCCCACAGTATTGTGCCCAAGCTCTGAGGTTCCTGTGTTGGACTATGTGGTTCTGAGGATGAGACTTTTATATTTTAAACAGCATATGACTCTGGGTTAACTATAATCAAGATAAAACTTTATTTGCACGAGAAGCAAATTGGTTACGAGATGTTTTGTTAAGTTGCTCAGTAAAATCACTGTCAGCTTTCCCCCCTCACACTCTTGTAATACTCTGACAATATTTTTGTCATTGTTCAGTCGCACAGTCGAGTCCGACTCTTCGCGACCCCATGGACCAGCTCCCGCCAGGCCCTCCTGTCTTCTGCTGTCCTCTGAAGTCTGACAATATTAGATTTTACCTAATATGCCCGCTGAAGTGGGCCGGGACAATGACAGTTCTCTTTCACAAATACTGGGAGGTAAACCTTTTCTTGTGCAGAGACAAACCCCCCCCACCAATCTCAAACCACTCCTCACCCACAGTAATGCAACACCTAATTTGAACATGGAGACTGGTACCAGAGCTTGCAATAAACCCAAATGCAAACTTTGGTGCCACAGACACCCTGCCAACACAGTCACTGGGCCCAGCAACACCAACAACACCATCTTGGGCGTATTCACTTGCTCCTAACGTTGTGTATGCCATTAAATGCCAGCAGTGCCCTTCAGTTCTCCATATAGGACAAACAGGACAGACCCTATCCCAGAGGATAAATGGATACAAATCAGACATCAGGAATCACAAGACTGAGACACCTGTAGGGGAACACTTCAGCCTTCCAAGGCATCCAAAGGCTGACCTCAAAGTAGCTGTTTTATTGCGAAGGAACTTCAGGAACAGAATGGAAAGGGAAAAAGTTAAATGACAAGTTATTACAACACTCGGAACAAACACCCCACCAGGACTAAACAGGGATACTGGTTTCTTATCCCATTACACATGCTAACTCATTCAATCCTCATGCATGTATTCTCACCAAGAAGGGCTATACATCCCCTATATTTTGATGTTTTTCTTTTCTTTAGATAGTATATTATAATAGTGATTGTAATGTGTTATGACAATAAAGGTTGTGTGATGTGATGATTGGAATGCAACGCACTATCTTGTTGATCTCTGACATAATACTGTACCCCAGGAAAAGGATTGTCAGTTAACTCCATGTTTTATTGAAGCAAAATGTTATTACTCCTCTTAGCGATTAAGAATACAATTGAATGTGTAATGTAATTTGGAATTGTAGATTTAAATGCAGTTCTTTGTTTTGGGGACAAGGAAAACACTCTACACAGCCAAGATGCTGTGAAATTCACGTCCATGCTAGAAAGGAGATGGATTGGGGGGGGGGAGAGTCTAAGGACGGGATTCTTACAAATTAGGGCACATCACTCTCCAGTTGAACCGAAACGGATGATAACCAGGAACTAAGATTGTCATTCTTTTGATGTTAAAAAAATGTGTCCTTGCTGTTTTGCCTGCCGATTTAACAAACCACTCCTATACAGACAATATGTAATTCCATCTCATTGTCTGACAAAGTGTTGTTGTTCAGTTGCACAGTCGAGTCCGACTCTCCGCGACCCCATGGACCAGATCACGCCAGGCCTTCCGGTCTTCCGTCGTCCTCTGAAGTTGGCTCAATTTCATGTTTGTTGCATCTATGACACTGTCTAACCATCTCATCCTTTGCCATCCCCGTCTTCTTTGACCTTCAATCTTTCCAAGCATCAGGGTCTTCTCCAGTGAGTGCTCCCTTCTCATTTGGTGGCCAAAGTATTTGAGCTTCAGTTTCATTATCTGGCCTTCCAGGGAACAGTCAGGGTTGATTTCTTTTAGGATTCACTGATTTGATCTCCTTGCAGTCCAAGGGACTCTCAAGAGTTGAAAAGTATGCAGACGGAGAGTGATTTCAGCTAAGCATACCTTTATTTAGTTCAGGACAAAGACAACTGACCGGCTCGCAGGCCGGTTTATATATGTTCAGAAAACCCGCCACCAAGCATACCTAAACACACCCCCTACTCCCGATAGGCTATTTACAGTAACCGGGCGACCATTGGTCTCCCGGCTGGGAAGCTAGCCCTTTTGATAGGGCCGGCTTGGATCCTCCAGATCCTTTGTCTTTCGACTGAAGCTAACATAGGAATTGTGCCTGGCCAGCCCGGGCAAGTCCGGGCATGTCAGGCTGAATACATTACACCCCTCCCCCCTTGGTTCGCAATGCACCCACAGACGAAGTCCTTCAGGTGCGCTGGTGGCTTCCTGGGGCGAGTCGAGCGGCGAGGTTCCGGGGTGGCGATTGGTTCGGTCTCGGGGGCCCCTGGAGTCGAGTGGGCCGGGCCCGG